GGCGGGCGCCCCCCGGGCGCGGCGGGCCGGCCCCCCCGTGTCCGGCCTCGCCGGGCGCTCCCACGAAGGGGCTCGTGGCCACGTGGGCGGTCTGGGCGGGCCTGGCCGCTGGAGTGGGAGCGCAAAAACCGCAGCAAAACTGACCCTAGGGATTCCTGCTCGGGGCTATAACGGAACTGATCGTGAAATCTCCCAATACGAAGCGGTTTCGTCACACAGCATGGCGCTTAGACGTCCCTGTCAAGTTACTCAAAATGAGGCGCACGGAGGCGCCTCTTTTTGCTCGCCAGCCTCCGCTCAACGGCCGTCGCGCCTCGTCGTCCTGCCTTGCCGTCGCTGGGCGACTCGGAGCGCGATCGCCGCTCACGGTCCCAGCCCCGGCCGACGCTGCCCTGGCTCCGCGGCGGTCGCGCTCGAACTTCCTCCCTACCAGCCGGTCGGCGCCCCGAGAGCCCGCACCTGAGAGCTCGCTGCTCGGGCGGAGCACAGACCTCGAGCGAGCGCGAGGCGGCCGTCGAGGCGGAGCATGTGCGGCCGCGCGTGTACGCCCGTACACGCGCGGCCGCACGTGCGCTGATCGGTGCGGGAAGTCGGCTGGCTGCCTGGCCGGCTCAGCCGTTTAAATTCCTCTCGCACTCGGCGGCTGCCAAGCGAGCTCAAAGTGCAGATTGGCACGTCGCTCGTGGCCGGAGCGCGTCGCCACGGAGGCGCAGTTGGCCACCGGCGCGAGCTCAGCGACCCAGGCATTCGCGCTCGGCTAGCAGGCGCCGCTCTGCGAGCGAGCGCGCTAACTCCCATTGCGGCGGAGATACACTACGAGAACCGAAATCGGGACCTGAAATGACGTACGTCCTAGGACGGCCGACTATGAAAATGAAACCTATGCTGTGCGACGAAACCGAATCAGGTTATCCTGGGGCCAGTTTTGCTGCGCGAAAAGAAAAAAATACTGAAACACGTGTTGGCGGATGGCGCCTGCGGCCGCGCCCGGGGTGAGGGGTCACCGCTCACCGCTGCGCGACAAAGGGGCGCAAGTGCGCGAGCACGGCTTCGGGCTGGTCGAGATGGGGCGAGTGGCCGCTCCCGGGCACCTCGCGCACGCCCACGCAGTGCTGCAGGTCCCTCTCGAAGGCGTAGGCGTCGGAGAGCGGGAGGATGTCGTCCTCGGTCCCCCACACGACCAGCGTCGGCTGCGCCACCTGCTGGATGCGCTCGCGGCCGACTCGCCTCGCCATCGAGCCGCTCTCGAGGTAGGCGAGGCTCGCCTCGTAGCAGCCCGGCTCGGCGCGGTGCAGCGACACGATGCGGCTCGCGTCGTCGGGCAGCCTCGCCTGCACGGCCTGGAAGAGGCCCTTGACGGCGAGCACGGGCTTGGCAAAGGCGGCGACCGTGTCGGGCGGCGGAGCCTTGTACGACTCGCCGCCCGCGTCGATGAGCACCAGCTTCTCCACCGCCTCGGGGTGCGTCGACGCAAAGTCGATCGCCACCGCGCCGCCGAGCGAGGCGCCGATGAGGACCACCGGCCGGCCTCGCAGCTGCTGCTCCCAAAAGGCGAGCAGGTGCTGCCGCACGAGCGTCCACGGCTGCGCGTCGCTCGCGCGCAGCGCGGCCGTGATCTGGCCGCGCTCCGTCCACCCGCCCGAGTACCAGTCGACCGCCACGCAGTCGACGCCCTCCTCGCACAGCTGCTGCAGC